AGATTACTGTACAATATTATTACTGTGCAATTTTATTATTATTGCTATTTGTCCAGTTATTGGGGCGTTAAAATAATAAATATAGTTTGATTAATGAAATAAAGGGATTTTAATTTTTTTCTTGACTAATTTGTTGGTTCGCCATGACCTTCATACTTTTACTTCACCTTTTCTGATTACTATCTAGTTAAGTTTTCAGAAATTTTAACTTTTGAACGTAGAACTGAAATAGTTTTCTAATATTAACTGTGCAAATTCATTGCAATTGCAATTCCAACTAGTAATTCATTTGATTTTAACCTCTAACCTTTAATTTCATAAATTACAATTGTAAAGATTCAAACGTGTGATTTAATTTAAGTCAATGAATTGTGAATGCAACTAAAAATGGATGCAACTGATTTATCATCTCTAATTGTACTGCAGAGTAAACTTTTGTTAGAAAACTGCATCACGTAAATATATGGCGTTAAATACGTCCTTGATAACTGATATAGATTCATCTCTAGCGAAACACAATGATAGTGATTATAACGATAATGGTATTATGCAAAACAATGGATTCCTGGCATTGCAATAGTAAAAACAATGATTTTTAGGATGCATTTTGTGGTCACTATAGTGGTATTCTGTTCTTCTGCTGTTATCGCCACAAATTTTAGACAACAATCTGTTGCTGTGAAAGGCAAATTGTTATGTGGCACGGCAGCAGCCCGAAATGTTCGAGTGAAACTTTGGGACAAAGATTTAGGTACAGTTTATTGTTTCTCATTCCTTGCACTTTTATAATCAATCACATTTCGATAGTAATCAAACACGATGCCAAATTCTGTAGTTATCATACTGTGAAAAAGCCAATTGAAATATTACCATAGCATTTGATCAAATCAGTGATCAAATTAAGACAGAGAAAAATTTCCAGGACCTGATCCAGATGACCTTTTACAGCAAGGTTATACTGATGCTCAAGGGATGTTTTTCTTGCAAGGCGATGCCAAAGAATTAACTACTTTAGATCCAGTATTGAAGATCTACCATGACTGTGATGATACAATGAAGGTCGTCTACTCACATTTTTATTTTTTTACATTCAAAATATTCTGGACAACTCCTATAAAATTAAATTATACAAATTGTATTCTATTAGTTGGCAAATCCTTCAGCTTGACATTTTGTTTAATTGAGACAATTTATACTGATTTCAGCCAGGTCAACGAAAAGTCAAGCTCAAGATTCCAAGTCAATACATAACTGGAGGCAGAACCGCCAAAACAGTATTCGACTTAGGAGTACTGAATTTGGAGACAATATTTCCAGTTAGTTTTTCTGAAGTTCTGAATTTTACAAATTTTGAACCTTTGACGCTAATAAAAGTGTGATTGCAAATGCATAATGGAATAATTCTGGAAGATTTTGGACTTTGAAGCATATAATACAATAGTCATTAAAATAACTCACAACTTAATAACTACGATTATTCGTTATTTCTCCATCTATTCAAAAGCCCATTGATATTAACAATTTACAGTTGAGATTCTTCGCCATGCAAAACCTTTTGCAAAATTTTTCGTTCAATTTATTAGCGCAGTTTCCTGTTGATAAAAAAACAAACTATTTGAGCAATAATAGCAGTTAAAAAGTAAACGGATCAGTAAATAAAATAATTATTCTATTTAAAATTTACAACTAAATAATTCTAATACTTTTGATCTCAGATTTATCCCGAGTTGAAGAGTGCTTTAAGGTGACGCTATTTCATTTTTTTCAAAATATATAAAACAAGCGATGTATTAGCTTGGGAATGAAATGAGCTTTTAATGAAAATTGCAGGATGAGGAACGTGAATTTATTTCTTCATAATTCTCAAGCGGATTCATTTCAAATAATAGACGTGAAATTCATCAAAAAGCTTTACCATTTTTTTTCATAGTATCTATCAATATGTGATTACACTATTTCACGCTGATTCCAACTTCAATGCTAATAAATTTACTTTGCCATTAATGCATGCAGTGAATTCAAAAAAAAATGCTCTCTGAGATATTGCTTCAATACAAAGAAACATAATTTATGTAAGAGAGAACGGCTTGGACTTTCTTCTCTCAGTGCACAGCTGTCTTTATTGTCATTATTTTGATTGCAAAAAAAATACAGAAGTACAGAATGGTAAACACTAATGGTATTCACAATAATGACAGTAAAAATGACAAACTGAATTTGTCACCATATATATTTAAAACGTTCTAGCCATTATCAATTATGTGCGAAAATAAATTGCATGTTATTTACCTGAGCAAATATCTCATTAATCTATCTGATTTCTCAAAATATGTAAATTATGAGTTAGGAGTAAGGCAAAAAAAATCTTCATCTTATGATAAGAGTTGGAAGGTGCGGAAATTCGAGCTAATATGTCAGTAGTCTTCGGACAGATTAGGAAAAGGAAAAGTATAACAGAGACAAGAATTGGCCACAACGTCTTCACAATAGTTTCTTTTTGATTTCGTGTTATTGTAATGGAAGTTATGATTGTACTGTTTTGTTGTTATTTTTAGTAGGATGTTATAGAGAGATTTAGAGCTCTCTGCAGAAAATGATCATAGTGAACAGTGCACTTGAAAATGATTCAGAGCTTGTAGAAAAGTGGTGGAGCTGCTAAGAGTTCTGTAAATGATTTTTCTGGTTGTATTAATTTATGACAAAGGAAGTCAATGGACGAATATGTCAACTCCTTAAGTGTTCCCTGTGATCCTTCGAGTATTGTTTGCACAGATACCTCTAAAATGATATTTGTCTGGTCGGGTCTTTTATGAGATTGCAAGCAATTATTGAGAGAAGGATTCTTTGGCTGGATGTACCAGCTCCTTAATATTGTTTTAGGATCACAGTGTGAGTTATTAATTACTTGGTAGCATCTGTATGCAATTTTAGTGTTTGCGCAGCATTTTCGTACCATCACTGAATCACTTTATGTACGAAAGTTTTACTTTCAAATTGCTTATTTGATACTGTTTTGAATGTAATTACTGTTCATATGATTTCATTTCTGGATTCGAGATTCGAGTGTTTGACTTGCTAAATACTTTCATATTGTGAGACAAAAAAAGAGTGAAATCAGAAATAACTGAAAGAAATTTTCACTTATTTGTAAATGTTTTCTGTGTATTGATTAATGAATTTAATTTGTTGTAAGATTCGTTGTTTACTTTTGTGATTGCCAACTGTTGTGTTATTTGACAAGCTTGCAAGTTATGCATAAATTTTTTAATTTGTTCAAATATTATAATCTGAGCATTTATATTCTTGAAAAAGATATTTATTTACCACTTCAATGCTAGATTGTAGTTATATAGTATTCAATTTTCGGAGCATTTAAAATTTTTCATTGAAATTATTACTTAACGATGGCCTGAAGTTCCTATGGAGATGAGTTATTCATTTTATCTTGAAAGTCTCATAATGTTAACATTTCATCAATTCTGTTTGGAATCTTTGATGACATTATATATGCTAAACATCAACCGAAAATTCACGGAGCATCGCAATTTGCTCTTACTTTTGTAGACAATGAGCGGAGCGTTTTTGCAAACGAAAATTTCGATGAATTTATCAAAAAGTGGTTGTTAACGAATTTAGCAATGGGGAATCGAAAAGAGAAAAAGGAATTGATACGGTCCATTGCATTGAGATGTTTGGATGATTATCCCTCACTGTCAGGTACTGTTATTGCGTTCGTTCGCTGACTTCACGAGTCAAATTTTTTAGCAATACAAAATGTGCAAAAGCATCAATAATTGCTAAGTAATGAATAATGTTTGCAGCTGTCAGTACATAATTTATTCGGGTTGCTTAAGAGCCATCTCACTCCTTCACTACCATTTTCGATGGAATGTGTAGGAATTGTGCGATTCGTTGAATAGAAAAAGCAGACAGATGGATGGGGGAGCATATGGTGCAATGAAAGAGAGGAAGTGGAAAAGTTAGAGTCATTGAACGCTTCTGATTTATGACTTTTTGAGAGTATTGAAGTTGCCTTGAAAGCCAGAAAACTGATATAAATTCAAAAAATGACAAAAGTTGAAAAAAGGCAAGCACTAGATGCTAGTCAATAACAGCTGTATGATTTTTGATAGTCAAAATGGGTATTAGTTTGGCAGAGGTTGAGGAATTTGTTGATTTCGTTCCTTAATAAATCTTATTTACTAATATTTTGCTTAATTTTAGAATATGCAATATTCTGATAATTCCAAACAAACAGGAATTAACTTATAAGTGTGGCAGTTACAAGGGTGTGTAGGAGTTCGAGAAGAAAAATTGTAATTTGGAGTGATGACAAAATTTTGGATTATTGAAGAGAGTCACAGAAGTTTTTCAAGCAATATTTAATGTAGTGTGAACGGTTGATTGAGTAGTGTGCACAGAATATTGTCCATAATTCATTATTCTGAACAATAATTCTATAGTTATTGTGTAAGGACATTTAATTTTCTACAGTCGGTAAATTACTACCGTAAAGGATCTGAATGTGAATCAAATAAATTGGAAATTGATATTAGGAAGTTGAGTAATTTTAACACAAGTTGAACATACGAAGTATAATGTTTCATATATTTGTTCACATTTATGCATCACAATTGTTACATACATGAAAGAATTCACTCTGTAAGTTAGTTCTCTCTAATTTTCTCCAAACATTGGGGGGGAATTAAAACTGTGTGTCTTACTCACTTATCTTTATTCATAAATTTGACAGATTTGCTTAGGTTTCTAGCATTTTGTTCTCTATTAATTTCGCTTCCACCCTTTCTCATAACAATTGTGAACGCACTTCAGATGTAATATTGTAGGCATGATTATAATCTATTCTGGTTTTTTAAGAAGTAAATCTTTGCTGAATAAGTGGAGTTGGCAATGTTATTTATTGTTTATATCATTTTTATCGAATTCTGATTTTATTTGACAGTATTTCTGTGTTTTATATCTGAGTGTGATTTTGTTTCACTGGATTTTCTATATTACACTAAGGAGTGACGAAAAGCCTTGACTTTCAAGCAACGTTCTGTCTGAGTGGCCTGCCAGATGGCCTTGGTGTTGTGTATAATCTATAGTGTGATTTTTTTTAAATGAAGTTGAGATAGTACAATCATGTACAAGGAAGAAATTTGTAGTTTGAAAGGAAAGCTAGAGCGATTCATGAGAAAGTGTTTAGTAGAGGTGTCAAATCTAATTTGAGTGTAAAATCACAAGTCTCATTTTTATTTCATTGAGGAAAGAATTAAACATATGGTGAGAAGTACCAAACTGATTGAGTTTTCTGAGTCGCTGACTCGGTGTTACTGCGAGAATAATGAGTAGTAGAAAATGGTGAGTAAGAGTAGTAAGTTTGATGGATAGCTAGATATAACAATATATTGATGGATAAATGAATAGATGAATAGTTAGATGGGGTAGATGAGACAGGTAGATTGATGAATAGTTAGATGAGATAGATAGGTATTTGACGTAGATGTATATAAGATAGACAGATGAAGTAGGTAGATAGATAATAAGAGAAAAAATATGAGCGGGGGGATCTCTGTCTGTTTGGCGCGTACTGTTTCAGTTTTTCCTACTATCAGAATATGCATATTGTCGGCAAGAAGTAACAACAATTCATTTGTCGGTATATATAGATATCGCTTAATAACTTCTGCATTTGAATGGCATTCATACTGTAAAGCAATGATAATGTGAAATTAGCAGACAGACAGACTAGAAATCATTTTTGGCATTGCTTTTGATAATAGCAAATTGCAGTGATTGTGCTATGTTAATTGCGTTTATGTGACCATCGGTGAGTGCTCGTTGTGTCAGCTATGCTTATGTTTTAGTCTCATTTGTTAATTAATCTTTTTAGTTTGTATATTTTTTGATTCTCTAAGAAATAATTGCTATTTTACTGAGATGGAATGATCAGATCGTCAACTGATACTTGTAGATTGCTGTACAATACTCAATTCTGTGTGCAACTTTTGTAAGTCATTAAAGAGAAAGCTAATTTGACGTAAGGGTTATGATGGGAAAGCAAAAATCATTTAAGAATTAAGTTTATTATTATAGTTTAAATTAAATTATTGAGAAAAGAGTGATATGAAATAACTGTCAAGTACTTCATTTTCCGCTGTACTTTTGTAGTGAGTAGTAGTATAATGATTTAGATTAGTATTAACAGGATGAAATTTGATGGGAATTTGAGCAATGAACTGGCATAAAGTCTGATATGACAACTCTTCCTGCTGAGGGTAGCTGTGTAATAATGCCATTTGGTTAGTATTCTTTTGAATGCTAATTTTTATGAGTTCTGAGCGATGGTAATCAATCAACTAATAATTTGTTCAGTTAGCGTTATGTGAAGAACTGTCACTTTTTTGTGATATATGCATTAACTCAACCAAAAAGAAAAGATGGGAAAAGATGAAGGAATGAAGGAATGAAGAAAATGCGATAGTAAAGAGAAGAATGTTTAGAGATTCGATGTAGTTAAAAAGATTGCAAGGGAAGAAAATGAAAATTGAACAGAAAATTAATGCACTGCTGTTTGACTTGGCTTTGTAGTACCATTTTTGCTCCGTTGTTATTCTTTTCCTGTAAATTCTGACTGTATATACTGTTTAATTGTAAGGAATTTCATGCCTTGCTGTTAATTTTTTCAAATCTTTTTAATTTAGAACTTTTTTGGACAAAAAAATCAAAGTCACAATATATGTTGAAGACTAAACTGCAGCTTTTATTGAATTTAAGTGTGTTTTGATTGCAACTTATTTTCTGTGGCTAATTTTTTGTATTGGTATGTCGTCAGGTCAACAGTTTTCATATTAATTATAACTTTTCCTAATTTTATTTTCAACTCTTATCTGATTTTTTTTTTGATTACAGCTTAAACTCAAACTTCTAATGATTTTGTTCAGTGGAAATTTTTTTAAAACTTGTCCTAATAATACTTTTTTGTTTGATCGTAATTCTTTGAGTAATTTTACCTAATTCCTCGATTAAAAATTTCTCTTCCGATCGTTATTCTTATAACACATCTGCACTGATGCAGTCTGGTTGTTATTGATTGAAATTTCATTCCTTTTATAATTTTTTCAAAATACTTTCATTCATATAGTGTGCCGCTTCGATTGAAAATTATTTTCGTTGCGATTGGTTTTTTGATCAAAAATTTGTTCTTTTTCAATATTATTGTCGATTGTTAAATTTTTTTTAAATCTGAACTTTTAGCTCTGATTGTGAGGATTTTTTTGTGGAGTGTAATCTTTTTTAAGCAAAAAATTTTCACTTCGGCTTCTACTTTTCTGTTCGGATTTGCTTTAATTGCAACTTTTGTTGATTTTTTTATAATTGTTTTTTGATTAATAATTAATAATTTTTTTATCTTTAACTGGAATCTTTTCACGTATACATCACTGTTTTCTGATTAGGAATTTCGATATCAATTAGTTCCGTGACGAACATGAATTTAATTGCTTTTTTGTATTGAAAATTTTTTTGATCTAATGTTGCTTTCTAGCAAATTATTAATCTCCGACTGTTTTTACATTACAAATTTCTTCATATATCATTATTTACTTTTAATGGAGATTTTCTTTGAAAAGAATGGTACTCATAATAATTATAACTTTTTTTCAAAATCTACAAGCATATCAACTGTTGACTGAAGATAAAGTTAAAGTCTGATAATGTTGACTTACCAGATGGAACTAAGTCAATCAGTTCATATCTTTTAAACAAAGGATTTGATCGTACGATAGTCTTTTCAAAATTCTAAGATTGAGAAAGACAAAATGTTCGAAGGAAAGCGGTCGTTTACAGTCATATCAAACATTTTCAATATTTGTTTTTCAGTAAACGTAATTATTATTGTGAAAAATGACAACAGCTAAGAATTTTTGCTGGGAAATTTAAATAAGCAACTTAACTTATTGTACTCTTCAGCCTTTTCTATCATATGAAGCAAATCTCAATAGGTTCTGTAATGTGTATTTTATTACTTAATTTGTTGGAATTCTGTACTAAGAAAGTATCAACTTAGCACTGAAATCAAATTAACTTCCGACACTACGGACTGATACAGTTTGCAAAAGTTTCTCTATTAGTGATGTAGAAAGTGTCATAATTAGCTAGCGACGAAATTCTCGTATGCGTGGATACATGCGTAAAGTAATTTAAGGAGCTGCAGAAGCACTTTTCTTGAATGCTTTGTGTAATGTCGCATTGTACAATTCTGAGTCGTGTTGTGATTACTAGTATTTCGTTCATGATTGTCATCTATTATTTCAATAATCAGTGTTCACCGCGTGATCAGAGAAGATTACGAGCCTATGCACAAGTTTTTTATTTTGACCAATTAATATTCCAAGAACTTTAAATTGTCAACAACCGTTCAATTTCGAGTTGTTTGAAATATTTTGGTCTAGCTGTTATCTCTGTGGGTTTTATATCATGTCAGTAAATTCGTATCAAATAGATACAGTTGTCATATATTGCGCTCTTTTGAATACTTTTGTGATTATTGTTGCATTTCCCCAAGTATTTTATTAATACATGCTTTATTCGAATGAAGCTGAATTATTATGCGAAATCCTTTATAAAGTTGTGGCATGTTTTTATAAAAAAGAGACGGCAGTACCGCAGGTTACAGTAGTTTGCATAATATTTGAAAGTTTCACTTTTTATCGACAAATACAAAAATGACGTGCACAGGAGTGATCTGCAAGTTTGCGCTTGTGCTGTCATTCACGAAAATATATACAGTTAACTGTGTACATTGTACCTGCATGTTTGTAAATGTGCGTCTAATAGCTTTGTCAAGTGAACGTTTGTGACCTGCAAGGACATTGTGGGCATTAGCTCCAATGCCAAAATAATGTGTATATGTTACTGCCATCTGAGTTCACATTAATGTTTATGTGTCAGTCTACATTTGTCGACACTGTACGTATCGGAATCGTTTGTGTTTCAGTGCTGCGTATGAATCCGTATGACGTATGTATCATTGTGCATATGTCAGTATCGAGACCGCGTTGATTGAGTTGTGTGAAAGCACGTCCTTAAGTCGTTCACATGCTATGTATGGGGGGAGGTGTAGGGCACATATTGGCGTTAGTGCGTGCACTTTTCGTGCTCATTCCTTTAGGAAAGTCTTACACTATCGCATCCTCCAAATCTTCTATTCAAATTGCTTAATGGCACCGTGCTATTATTTACTTCAATTTTTCAAAAATGCTGAGGAACAACAAAGCGCTTCTATTCCAAATTTTTCTGCAACTTAAACACAACAATTAAACAGGCTGAAAATAGTTCAGAGGTAGAGCGCAGGCAGCTATATTGAATATATAGATTACCACACAATATCTCTTATTTGCTGAAGCACATGTACTTTAACGGAAATGGACTACGTGTAATTTCAGAAATGATCACGAAACTACACGGCCGAAAGATGAAATAAATAAGGATGGATTTAAGAGTTCAAACACTGTCTTAAGCTATTTTTCCAATCTTCAGACAAAAAAAACGTTCTGTCATTCAAGCATGCAATATACAAACAACCAGTGAGTACTTCGGCATTTTGTAAATTAAACATTTTTCAACAACAGATCACTTTAAATTTAGTCAGTGACGTATGCATAAGGAAATAGTAGATATGCTACACACACATTTATACTACATTTCAAATAATAGAGCGTAACATAAAATTAGTCAGCTAGAAGTAGAGTTGAAGAGTTATTACTAGCTAGTCAAGAAAAACAATCACATTTATGCTCCAAACAGAATGATAAAAGCATAAGAGAATAGTGTGACGAAGGATAAGGCATTGAATTGACTTTCACTGAAAGTTGCTCCAATCAAAGGGTCTTAATAAGCATCTGGACTTTATAAATTTTTTTCCTTAGCTGCTTTGACACACTCGCTTGATTTCGGATCATGAATGCCATTGTCAAGGGTGGATACTCTTTCGGTGGTACAACTTACTTTCTTAGCCTTTTCTTGATTCTTCAACTCAATTTTATCCCACTCTTTTTTAATAAGTTGTTCAAGCTCCTGTTTCCACCCTAATAATTCTGCTAATTTCCATGCCCCATCATCCGTTGTACCTCGCCAAAATACATCTCTGAAAGAAAACTGAATATAAAGAAAATTTTAAGATAGTATATACTAAAGAGCCAAATAAAGTAATCAAAAATTTTACTTATGTAAAATAACTGATTGTATTTAAACAGTATTCTTCAGATTAGATTTTCAATGCCAGACAAAATCATTTCAAGCAAATTTTATGACTTGGAAACACAAAAAAACCTGTAGTTGTCTTCATCTCCGTAGCATAAACCAGAACGACTGTGCGGATAGGATGAATAAATGCTGCGTCCAACTTCAGTTAAGTTGATCAGAAGGCGTGGTACTTCTTCTTTAACAGCATCAAGTAAACCAGCAAACGGTTGCACGACTAGTGATGTTCCCATGATAATTAAAAGATCACACTTTGGGAAGTCCTGGAGAATTATCGTTTCGTAAAAATTAGATATTGTAAACTAAAACTTGAAACTAAGAAAATAAAATTTCTTACTTTTCCTATCTGAACAAAAAAAAAATACCTTTTTTGAACAACTAAAGAATCGAACAGGAAGGTTTTCTCCAAAGAATACAATATCTGGCTTCACGATTCCGCCACATTTTTCGCAATATGCTACGTTCACATTCTCTTGAAATAATTTATCTGAAAAAGTAATTGAATGACAATGTTAACTGCATTATTTTCAATTACATTACAACTTTATTGTCTAATTTAATTAAAAATTCTAAAATTTGTTAATACTAAAAAGAAAAGCAATTTGTTTCCAGTGCTGTGAGGGTTATCGTTTATCAGTATGTAAGAACTCACTTGTTCCTTACACAAATCTGATTGATTTTTCATTCTCCCAAAAAATGATTCAAAAAATTGCACTGTGCTTTTAGCTCCCAATTATCTGCTATAATATTCATAAACTTAGTATTCGACTTACTCATGATCCAATTCTGATCATATTTAGCATAGCACGACAAACATGTACTACTGTGATGACATCCGTGAGCTGCTACTAACTTTTCTTGATGAATTCCTGTCATAAATTCCAAGGAATCGATATTCTGAAAAAACGAATCACTAAAGTAACGTTTTTAGAAGAAAATTTGATTATCCTTAAAAATATTCCTTCGAGGATTTTTCTCTTTCTTATTGCTTTAAACAAGTCTTCTACATCTCATTAACTCTGTATACACAGTCAACATAAAACACCTCATAAGCAAACGATGGCATATTACTTATAGTCTGATTAAAGAATACAAATTAATGCTGTATTCAAGAAAGTTCAAATTAATCCCTATTTCTTCGTTTAATTTGCCAACTAGTTGAAGATTATCCTAGATCATACAATATACTTTTCTTGTCTGTGAAAATTTACAAAACAAAAACAGAAGGATTTCCATGAAAATTTTGATTTTGATCAAAAGAAACTATCAAGCAAACGTTTCAAGTAACACACCTGAGTATACCATCTTAACAGCAATCCTTTTTCATCCATAAGACGAATTAAATAATGACATGGAGTAGGCTGTAAATGTAGATTATTAAACATTCAGATGTTTGTTTCCCTAAATATGTCGAAAAATTTAAGGTCCAATTTTGTTGGAAATTAATTTACTAATACTTGAGTGAATATTGAGCACATATATGACTTTTAACTTTCATTTTCAAAGAAACTAATGTCTAATGTACTTGGCACTAAGAAATATATAGTAATCTGGAAAAATCCTATGCCGAATTGTGCTTTATTTTTCAAACCTCACTTTTAAGGATACTTTCAACTTCTGATCATGTCGTCATCAAGTTTTTTCTAATGTGAAAACGAAATATAGTAATTTTTAATTTCGAGAAAGCAAAAATTCGTTCTCAACATTGCCTTGCAATGTTTTAAAGAAACCATACAATCTATCTAGATAACATAGAAGTAAATTTTTGGTAACCACTTACATCTATTTCTCACTATTAGAAAACCATTAAAACTAAAAAAAATAATTTAGATTCTTTATTTTCTACTTTTCTGCCATAACCAATTTGTCATTATCCATTGTTCAAATTCGTACCTTTAAATTTGTTGGGAACAAATTCTTTGCTAACTTATAAAATGGCTCTGGATTCTTCATGAAATATGATATGTCAAATATCAACATCGGATTTGATAAATTATATTGTGCCACATTATCATACAATCCAGTGCCTAAATTCTTTGAAAACATCGTAAACTTTCAGTTTGAAAAGTCTTTACATGAAAATATATAGTATTCTTAACATTCTGAATTGCAAATATTTTAATTGAATTGTGCAAACGACTTATAAGAATAAGACAGATGTTTCATTGATAAAAATGATTAATTGCGTTTGATAATGAAAATCCTTTAGCTTTATAAAGCAATAAAAGTGTTGTATATCTGAATGATTGTTGGTAAAATTTGATAATAATAAGTTAGCTACCAGGACTTCGAAAATCAGGAACACCAGCAGATGTTGAGATACCAGCTCCAGTCAAGACAATTATGTTTTTAATATTCTGATCAAGAATATATTCTACAACACCTTCAATTGTTAGAGACGACAATTTCTGACGATTTAAATCTGAAAATAGATTTTTTGTCATTTTTCAATAAAATATTCCATACCATCTAGTGACTAGGATTCGTGGCTTTCAACCATGCGATCCTGATTTGATTTCCTATTTATAAGAAATATCTTAATATGCGGCACTTTTCTAGGGATTGCAAACTAATGAGTTAGTTTGTCCAGTAGACACACACCACCTATATCTTGATACTGGCTATTAAACATTTGAATAATCAACTGTAATGCAAGCAAAATACTTCATTGTGCGTTAGTTAATATAATTATACCAGAAAATAGCATGAAAGCATAATAACAAAATTTTATTAAAAGCTTAGTTTTCTCAGAAAAAAAGAAATACTATTATCATTTTTAATGAAAACTTTTAGATACTATATAGTTCAATCAGTAAAACTTACAAGACATTCAGTAAGAAGTAAAAAGTATAAGCAAAAATTTATTTTACCTATGATTTCCATATTAAGCAAAATAAATTACTAACAAGCAGATAATAAATGGTATGATTTAAGATTAAATCATCGAATGAAAGTATAAAAAATAAACTTTATAAACTAGAAGGGATGTGAAGTTCACATCTGATATTGTACACACGTGCATTCCGATTGTTAAAATGCTTATGATTATTTCATTTTGGATCATAAATAGAAATAACCAGCATGAGTTACTTGAAGTAAAGCATGAGAAAATTTTGAACAGTGCTCACTTCCAGATTTCTGAAGACTGTGTTGAATACAATACTTGATATGATTTCACTTAATATCTTGATTTAGCAGTTATTTTAGACAAAAAGATGAAAAGTAAAGCCTTCATTCACTTAAATATATCAAATAAAACTACTTAAATTGATAGAATAGTTTGTAAAAATTGAAATAGCGGTAATTTTCTTGTATTTGCACACTTACTGCTCTCACAAGTAGCTCAATCCAAAACTAAAAACCAATCTAGGATCACTGACAGTCCATACATATTTCTACATGCGTCTTGGATTTAGCAAATATTGGTTTTCACTTCAAAATTACATTAACAAAAGTATTCTTTAAAGAAATTATATGAGTAGCAAGTACAATAATCACTTCAATATTCATCTTAAGTCAGTGTCCGGATATTTTGATGCTTTTCAGATTTATTTTACTCACTATCTGTTACATTCCTTTAAAAAGAAGAATAAAACTAGAATGTAGTAGAAAAGAAATGACTACTTTTGTGACAAAAACTAAGCTTTTCCTTCTTAAATCGATCAGAAATATCTAATCTTACTTGGTTTGTCATTCGCAGATAAATTCCCAAATTTCGATATCAGTGATCTAAATATACTGGAAGAGTCAGGAGAAGAACCTTCATCACCACTCGTTCCACTAGATTTTTCTTCAAGACGTAACTTCTGCTCTTCAAACTTTCCATGGTCTTCGTCACTTTGTTCCTTCGTATCTGAACTTTCTTGCTTTTGCGACATTCTCCTTATCACATACAATATTCTTGAAAAATAGGACTGATATTGTATTTTCTTCCCTATCTTAAAAATAAAATCAAAAGTAAACTTCACTGAAAATCTTTGAAACATTCAACAAGATCTCATTTGCTCATGAACTGTAGCAGAGAAATTTGACAATAACTGTAAATTTTTACCAACAAATTTTTGAACTCAAAACATGACATGTCCCCAAGTCTCATCATACTAAAAAGATGACAAAAGTTGAAAGAGACTTATTCCTCGCGTCAACCTTAAAATCCAGCGCAACCCCTCAAAACTATATTCGTAACGCTGCTGCTAAGCACAACTTACTATTTCATTTCGCGGCCAAGTTAACCTTTAGAAGCTCATCTGTTTCTTGCGTGCACATTTCAATTTCACGAAATAAGTCCAAGCATTCAAATGTTGGTCTTGTAGATATTCGCAAAATCAGTGACGTATTTGAGGGCCGATGAATATTAAATGAATTAAGGCGATAAAAATTGCTGTTATGAAAAAAAAATCATCATTAAATCTACTGTCTACACAACTAGTTCACATTTTTAGCATTGTGTGCCATGAGGGAATTAAAAATCCAATATGTGCAATTCTCATAGCTGAATAGGCCTGATTTTTTAGATGGTTAGACTAGACAATCATATCTCTTAAAAGTTTTAGAAATGAAAGTTAGACTAAGGACGCAAGCTTAGAACTGTGATTTAATTCATTTGAGAGCTTTAGATGTAAAACTTTTATAGAAAACACCCACAGAATTTTGGCCCTCTTTATATAAATGAATTTTCTACCCATTATATGAACTATCACTAAGAGCAAACATGACTTTAAATCATTTTGCTCCCGATCAGCATAACATTCACTTTGTTACTAATACTAATGATGTCCAGTTTCTCAGGCATTAATAAAAGAATCTGCGATCTCAATAACATAAACCGCCTAAAAATTATTCAAGTGCTAGGATAATGTAGCTTCCCATTTGAGAAACACAATTCAAAATAGTGGTACTTAATCTAAGTAATTTGACGATACATTCAGAATTCCCGTATTTTAGTTGAGAACACTACTTGAACCAAAATTTCACCTGAGTTCAATTAAGACGACGTTTACTAAATTTGAAATTCAGCGAAATGAAAGAGGGTAATAATTTTGTTTTAGAACTTTCACAGTCACTATTAAGTTGCACTAATTCTATCAATTCAAAGTTTATTCTCGAAATTTACCAAAATCAAAATATTTAACAAATAACTTTCCACTTTAAATAAATATAAGAGATCACATGAATTCACATACGAACAACCAAAACTTTCAATCAAATGATGTCACTTTTTTAAAATATATCGCTTCCTGAGGACTCAGAAGTTTTGATCTAAAAATAAGATTAATCACTGCTACAAACAACCACTGCAAAAAGTTTCAAGAAGACTACTGTGAAACGAATGAATGTAAAACATACATTGTTCCTTCTGAAAATGTCAAACGTATACGATTTAGTGCCATAGTAATCGATGCATGAAGCGGAACACATGCTCGATTTTGCCATTCTCTATCCTACAAATGCAGCTCTAGTCATGATGATTCTATTTGAACTCTTCCTTATTATCCAAATTTAATGCTTAAATGATTTGAGATATGTAAGAGATCTAATTTAAAGCTCCAACACATTTTCCTAATCACAGCCATGGTAATAAAAGAAAGGTTAATTAGGATCTGAAAAATAAAAACCATTAAAATATTCAAATGAATAAATCCAATTAATATCAGCGTGAGAAAATCAAACTTCTTGAAAAGTGCAACATGAAACACCTGTAACCTTTAATAAAAGTAACTTCATGAAGAAATAAATTGAAACCTCTTTGGAAGATCGCATATATCTTTCCAGGTTACTACATAAATGAAGAAATACCGACACTATTTGACGTAAATCTTTTTGAACGACACCAAAACGATCTTCGTTTAATGAAACACAAACTAAGGCCGATAAACCTAGTTGTAAACAAATCTTTAGTTAACATAGATCATCACTATAAAATTAGAAAACAGCAAAGAAAAAGTATTTATCTAAAAAACTTTGAGACAATTGGAGTTCTGATATTAACTATCTATTATTACAGCAAGGAAAGTACTTAAAATATTTTTATTCATGAAGATAAATTAGCTCATTCATCTAGCTTTAAAGAAAATTAAAAAAAAAGGATTTATTACAACTTACAATAGTAGGTTTCAACTACCGTGCATTTGAAAATTCACTCTCATTGTAACAAAGTAATCAAAAAACTAACTTTCGATAGCAAGAATACCAATATAAACGTCGAAAAGTGAAACAACATGACGGTTGCTATTCATAAGCAACTTGAGTTTGTCCATAAACGGTGGTAAATAATCTTTTAACCAAGAAGTTGACGAACTGCTTTCTTTTCGCAAATTTTTTGAAAGCATACGTTGTCTCACGTTATCTGCAAGAAATTTTTCTCAGTGGAACTTGTTATACTAAATATAAATAAAAGGGCTCCTCAATAGTTTTGCCTTTTGAAGTGTCGTATATAGTTACACTGATTCTATATGATGGAATCTATACACTAACAGAATACCTTTCAGCCACGCTGTCTGAAACAAAATAGCTGGTCGTTTACCATCTGATGCAGGTAACAGAGGAGCAGCCTAAATTTAAATCGGATGTAAATAAATGAAAAAACAAAACCAGAATATTTCTTAGATTCAAAAACTAAGAAGGAAAAATCTATACAGATTGTGTTTATACCAGATGAAAAATTGAATTTTCAAACTGAATACTGAGAATTGTTGAATATTTTCAACTTTAAGCTACCTGATAAAATAAGCACTCGAGCATGTCAGCTGAACATACTGTGCATACATTATGTTACTAATTCAAATGAAAAAGCTGGCACGGGCTTCCATAATTACAATTTTTTAATGACCATTCCATAATGAAAGAAACAAGGGCATGAATGATGAATAATAAGGGATTTACCACATTCGCAAATGCTTCTGATCGAATACGATCATTTTCATTTTCAAACAGAGAACTCAAATATTTAATTTGATTATGACACGAAGATTGCACAGCATTCCAATTACGAGGATGCCCACCTGAATTTTTTTCCTTATACATATATTTCTGTGAAGTTAGTTTGAAGACGGTAATTACCCTTAAAGAAGCGACATGAATACATATTTTATAATGAATAATAACAAAAAATCTATATCACTCTTAGCATTATCCATTGCCACTTAATGCAGTTTTGATTCTGAATTGTTGCTTCTTAGAATAAAATTTGCCAAATAATGAAAAAAACTGAAATTCCTTTTAAAAAATAAACTAAACCTGGTTGACTTAAAGAAAAAATGATCTGACGTCGATGGTGGCATGCAGCACTCAATGTTCGCAAATCCCAGAAAGCGAAAGCCTGTTAAACAGAAATGAAATATAAATTTCTATAAAATGTTAAATAAAGAAAAAACCTCGTCTAAAATGTAAACGACCTTTATCATTCCAGTCAATTCAAGGGCAGCCAGCAGCGTCCCATGCACTTCTGATGGTGGATTCAAAGTAGTAAATGGCAGCGGCATAGTAAATTCACAAGTCTAAATCCAAAGAACATCAAATCAATGTTTTTGTAATGTCATTCACGTTTATTTTGAGTCGAAAATTATTCATTTTTTAAATTATAACCTGAAGAAGGAAGATTTTTATTAATCCTATAGAAACTTTATGCAAAACCAAATAGACACTCAAAAGCACAAAAATATTGAAGTACAAAGAGATATCAAAAAGACTTCGAAATAGTGACCAACCAATTATTGGTAAACCTGAAAATATAATATGTGACGTGAAAGAAAATATGGGATACAGAATTTTTGATATAATTCAAAACAGATTTTGTAATTCAAACCACAAAGTATGAAACTTTAAAAAACACGCAAAGAAAAAACCACTTATGAAGTTTATTTAACTTTTAAAAAATATGACCTACCAAATATAAGTGAATGTAGTGCAGTCCACTTGAAAATACGAGGGATTTTATTGTATAAAATATCTTTAGTTGTAGGCAAAAGAATGGAACTAAGTTGCATAGAAGGGCGCATCTGAAATATGTAAAATTCTAAATCTTATAATTTTATTTTTCATCAATGAACTTAATTCATTGTATCAAAGTGCTCCTAAAAAAGATATTCAAATAGTAAAAGTAGTAAGTAAAAAATACCAACCCGTTTTAATAAATTAGAATTCTGGCAATCAAATGACGTAATATATTATACCCTTATTAGTTAAGTAAAATCAATTAGAAAAGTCTTATGTGTACTGCAAAATAGTAAAGAATGCGAGAAATGCGTTTAAAACATTTTAAATCAATTAGTCCATTTACGGAAAAGTAAACTAATTCTAATAGTAGGAATAGGATAAATTACGCTTGGAATAAAAATTAAAATGAACTGTAGTAGCGATAATAGAAAATATGGGGAAATGAAAGTAAAATACAGAAGCGTGAAAAATAGAGGCTAGCAATGAGCAGAATTTATTCACCTCAATTACTGGAAATACCAAGCGATAACTGGTGTGAAATATTTCATGGAAAGTAGCGGCAGCCTGTGTAATAATCAGCATGAAGAAAAAAAATCTAAAATTCTTCAAGCTGTTAAGTTTAAATCATTTAGCATTCAAAGCATATCACCTACAACATTTTACATATGATTTACTATGTTGTAACTGATCGAAGAAATCTTTCGTTTATGATTTCGTTTATAATACACAACAATGGATGTAGGTAAAATTAAGCTTGGCTTATTCTTTAGCTTATTAAAAACAATGAGATTTACAGTGTCACAAAAATCACTCATAAAAGCTCATTGGAAAGTCACATCAATACCTTGAAAATTCATGTGCATAAGAACCTATTAATAAGCATCCAAATTGTGATAAAGCAATATTCAGTGACAGGATATAAATGAGCCATGATCTTACAGATCGAAAGGACAATCTGCAAATCAGAATGATGTTTAGAAAAATGATCTACATAATTTTATGAATTTACATGAGTCTCAAGCCTATCAAAAGAAAGAGCTCACAATATAAGAAGTAAGATAATCAAACAATGAATATACGATATCGGGAAATTCCTAAGTGATAACCTATCTTCATTGTTGAACCGTAGAACAAACAATCCAAACAAGGCAGTGTGTGTAGCGCTAAGAAGAGCGAAGAGCACTGCATAAAATGAACTTCGAAGCGAAAATAATAACAAATAACAGTCTGAAAAATTTTTGTAAAGTTTTGATAAAATGAATTTGAATCTGCAACTAAAGCATTTAATCATCTTAATATAGATCTTAAGCATATGTTTTTATTTTTCAATCAGTTAAGATGGTTAAACCATTGTAGTCAATTTCGCATTCAATTAATGAATAATGAAATGTGATGGAAGTAAAAATATTCAGTCCACGCACAAATCAAAAATGAATTTTTTTACAATTTAAGAGCATTTGGTGTCAAGCGTCTGAAATTTGATTTTTAAATCAAGGAAAACAAACAGGGACAAAAGAATTTTTTCTATGAATAATCAGAAATATTGTAAACAACGTAAGTTACCGATAAATGCCTGAATGGGATGAAATAATGAAGCTTGTAAAACGCAAACAGCAATAAAGTATACTACCATGCAATATATGGAAAAGCTGGCACAAGCTCCCATAATTCGAAAAAAGACCTCAAAATATAATGAAAAATATTATGAAGAACTGAAATTAGAAATTAAGCAATTTTACATACAATAGTCGTACAGACAGAGTCAGGAGCTGAAATCTCCAATTATAGTTGTATGAAAACTGAGGATTTTAAAACATCACAGTGAATGCTACTCGTACTCTATCAACAAGAGGAAACTAGCTACAAATAAATAACTTACAATGCGTCTAAACCACTGAGAAATAGATTCAGGAGCTGTCACATAATCTTCATTTAGTAGTCCTATAGGAGAAAACATTTTACGCTGCTGTTGCCTTTCATTTGCGGACGATGAAGACAACAGTGAGCACCCATCATAAACATTGAATGCTCTAGACATTGAAATTCTTTCTTCTGTAACTATTTTGCTGGAAAAAAAAAAGTGAATTACAGTATAATTACTCACATCTCATATGCTCAGTTTTACAGAGCTAGGTGAAAAAGATCCATAAATATGTACAACGGATCACAAGATACCTACAATAAATTTAGCTTTCACATGCAACAGTTTGAATTTTTGCAAAAATAAGACTGAATAACTTTCTTTCAGCAATTAAGTTGAATTACGTAACAGTAAACTTTGTAAACAATAATAAAAGAACAGAAATAGCAATGCATCTTCGCGTCAACTTTATAAATATATTTTTAGAGAAACTTATGTCTCTATAATTTATTCAAGAAAGCTTAAAAGCTTCCAAAAGATTTTGAAGACTGGGAAAAAAAATTAATGAATGCTCGAAATATATTTATGCAACAAAGAAACAACGCAACATAATAACTGACAATATATTTGCAGTACGAACATAACTTACTGAGAAGAGAAAAAAACATACAAATAAATGACAATATTTTAGTGAAATTGTAGGATCTTTATATTCCGTAATTTCAAATGAATGCATGCATTAGTGAAAATATGCGACTGAATTTGCTGTTTAAAAGACTGTGCTTCAATCTGTACACATTTCGACTTTTCATAAATCTCGAGAATGATGAAGATAAGAAATTACGAACGAAATGAGCCAAAATTGAAACACAAAAAGCAAATATTTTATGGAGATACAATACACGAGAAACATCACCCTCGAAACTGAGGCCGAGGTACTCCACCAGGACGTTGATTACCACGCGAGGCAGCGCGCCCTCGAAATGCCGTTCCACGTCCTGCAAGTCAAATGTCTGTTTCACAAGAAATTATAAATAGAATCTAGATCTACAAATTTATTCTTCTAGACTTTGACTATATTGCAAGTCTACCGTAACAATCCACTGATTTAAAAAAAATTGAAAATATCTAAGACAAAAATGTTCGACCTTACATCGAAAAAATAAGTCACGGTGTAAATGAATTGATCTCTTACCTCGAAGACCACGTCCATCACGATTGTCACCCATTCCCATACCAACAGCACCCTTTTGTGCACGACCAATGTTCTTAAACATTGGTGCATTTTTTAACATATCAGGCAAAATCATAAAACGGATTTTCGATCCCCGAATGAAGACATTATCTAAATGGTGAGTTCGTCCATCTCGATATGTTACTGTAACTTCACTCATCTGACAGTTCATATTATCTTCGGCCTGAAACGCTGTTATTAATTAAGAAATATTTTATTTGAAAATTGCAGACATAGATGAATTAATTAATACTTCAATCAATTTCCCACGATACACCTCTCCAATCGTTGTTTCCAATGTAACGACATGGCCTTCAGCCTCATGCAAAATTTTGATAGGAACACCAATCGCTGTCATCTTAACACTGCAAATTAAATCCGAAATCACATGAACAAAGTGTATCACCTCCTACATTATTGAATTCAACTCCTGTATCACCAAAAATTACACTACATTTTGTCCAAATTTAAAAGCCTAATTTGTTTATAGAGCTTAAACCTCTTCAACGAATATTACCATAATTCTAAATCAAAGCAAATGACTACAAAACTATATCAGTGATTCAGTAATATAGCAGTCTAGGTCAGAAATAAAATTGAATACGACATCTACTATGTTTACGGGAACTTCCCTGAATGACTAATTTATTCATCGCAAAATAGTTGAAAATAAACATCACTGTGAAATACAACTTTTATATTTGAAGCAAAAAGAAATAATATGTGCAGCACCAATTGAACAACAACAAATATTGCATAGATTTTAAAAAGTAGATAATCTTGAAATTGGTAAAATGCGCTTCAATCCATCAAAACATTTTCTAAACAAAAGTTCAAAAACTTACATGACAGGAACACTCTTGAATATACAATTATACTGTATTCCCACCTCAATAAAAACAAACGTTTGTAATCTATTTTACACGAGTAATTAAATAGTACATCAATCCTCTTAAACTAATGATTAGAGGTGATTAATTAGCTAATGATTAGCTAATGATTAATTGTTTATCCCGAAAACCCAGAGATTAGAGAAATGCCAAATTACCAAAAAGATCAACAACCGGTGGACAGCAATTATTAAATTTCACATCTCAGTAAAAACAAACTTTAAAATATTTTCCAACATAAAGTAAATTTTTTCTAAGGAACTTAACAAAACAATATGAAAAAAACCTGATGAACAAACGGAAGTAGATAATGACAAATACATTTATGTCATTATCTAAACAAAAATTCATGTCGCTACAGTAATAAATTGGACATGAGCCATGAAAACCATAAATAAGTAAATGAATTTTGTTATAACGACAGAATTGATTAAAATGCTTCAAAATAAAGGAAGCATTTCTTGGTTAGCAGCAGAAAAATTCAAGGTCTTCTTATTTTCGAGAATATCTGCGGTTGTAAAATGTTATTGATTAAAGGCATCAGTTATTCATCACTAATATGTATTCTGCCAAGTATTTGTCTCATTCCTTGGACAGCTTTTCGAGTTTGCGGAGTAAGTTCATCATCATTTGCATGCAGAAGCTAAAATATTTGTATTTAATAACAGGTCTAAAATAATTCTTGTTATCAGTCAAAAGAATTATATTCAAAACCAAATTATATAAATTTCAATCTAACCTCATTCACTATGGAAGTACTGTCATTACTTTTTTCATTTTTCGCGACTACAGGTGTTCCTGCAATGGAGAACGCCACTTCTTCTCGACCCAACGTGCGAAACTTGACACCACCACTGAAAACTTGAAAATAAAAGCAAGCACTGATGAGTAATGCAAAATTTATAATTCGAGATAGAGGCTTTTCCCGAGATCTAGTGATTATTTAACTCAGTAAGTGACTGTTAGGTAACATCGTACACAGAAGCATAAAATCGATTAACTAACGTATTTTGTACTTTCGGAGTAATGGCTCGTGGCAGCCGAACATTTCCTGACGGCGTTCTTAACATTAGAGGTTTCGAATTCGAATGCCTAAAAAACCAATAAAATCGCGAAACCCATAAACAATGTCATTTTCTCAAAGCTTAAAAGAATCTTCAAGCAATGAATTCATTTTAAAAATTAACTTCTCGGATTCATTTTATTGTCAAATTGGCAATAATTCTGAAAGAGTAATATTATATTAGGAAATGAAACACTACGTCGGAGTTTTCATAGTTGCTTGTGAACATGGTACATTACGTCTCACGCATGATTCTAGAGGCTGACTAATTGGTTCTCGAAGTCGGCTAACCCATGTATTTGCGCCGCACTGTTGAACCTTAGTCTTTTTCAAAGTATTTTCATTAGTCTTTGCAGCTGATTTTTTGTGAGTACCTTAATTCCAAATGTTATAAGAATGAGCCTAAATATATATGAAGATAAAGAGTTGCGGAAATGAAATAAACTTTAAATTATATCTCTTTGAAAAAAAGTTTTCACTCTAGACATATATTTAACAAATTTATTTTTTAGCAAAAAGAAGAACCTGCTGATGGTCTACTACAGGATGCAGCAAAATCAAAAAAACGCTGTTGTAAGACTTCCTAAAATGAACAGAAATATTAGAAATTTTAATATCAGTAATGTTTTAACATATTACAAACACCCGCAACTAATCAGACTGTTATCTGATTAGTATATTTTACTTTGATGACTGAAACAGATAACTATAGCGATCCATGATGTATGATATCACACCTTTGATATCTTACTGATTTCCTCAACGTAATCTTTGAAGATTTCATTCGAAACGATATGTTGGCTAACTTCTTCTAATCGCCTATCACCTAAATAAACAAGATTTCGACGTTAGCAGTAATAAAAAGAAAAAACAGATGTAACAAAATCCTGAATCAGAACTGCTAGCATTAGATTCTCGTAAAACACGTAAATTACAGTATCTTAAGCTGGCAAAAACAAAATTATGTTAGTAATTTACTTTCTGCTTGCAAATTTACTATCCAATTCCTAATCTTTTCGCTTTGGTTTCCATTTTGCGCCATGTAAATTGTAATGTGTTTTATCCGACAATGGACACGTAGCAAAAGAAAAACCCTGGAAAGTTACATAACTGTTACGTTCCAATTAGAGCAAAATCAATGACGATTAGGTAAAAAAGTGAAAAACTATAAAAAGAAATTGTCAGTACTAAAAGATACGACTTCCTCTTTTCCTCTTCCAATGTGAGAACACCAAATTTAACAAATCTGATCCGAAAAAAAGAAATTTTACTAGAAATGAAAATGAAAAAAAGGAAAAGTCTGCTCGTCAGTTATTAATATGAAACGATAATTCACATACTTCGCGGAAACAATTCAATAATTAGGAAAACAATGAAAGCATAAGGATTTTTGGCAGCGAAGCATTCAATAATACCGAACACGAGACCAGATGAAAATATAGAAAGCTTCAAATATAATTTAGACAAATTTGTTGTTTCAAACTGAGGCCGTTTGCAAAGTTCGTAAGGTTTGTAAAGTTCGTATGCTAGATACGATGGAGAAAAGTTCGGCCTTTTTGGGTTACTGACATGCTTGTCTTAGTGATTGCATTTTGCACACAGGCATAGACGTCAGTCATACTGAAAGAGAATGCGGGAAAGAGAGGACTGGGGGTTAGGGTAAAGCAGACATACAGAGAAGAAATAATGTGCAGAACGCAGCAGGTCTTAAGGTGGTTGAATTTAGTCTTTAGTCTTAGGAAGTCATACTGTGGTAACCTTTGGCTCTTACAAAGCGATTTGTTAAGACTTGAGCCGCACAACATGCTGGGCCGTTGGAGGCCCTGACTGGCGCTTTTCTCACGTGATGTCTGTAATTCCCTCACGTAAATATAGTCTTTTCTTAATGGCACTTTGTAGTATAATGACGAGTATTGTTAGATGATTTATTTTTATATCAGTGATTATGAGATTTACTTTTATTCTTTCAGAATAAGCCAACAGTAATGCCACGACAAATTACTGAAATTAAGGAATTTCTGATGACTGCGAGAAGGAAGGATGCAAAGTCAGTCAAAATTAAGAAAAATAAGGAGAATGTTAAGTTCAAAGTTCGATGCAGCAAGTATCTCTACACTCTTGTGATTCAGGTTAGCAAGTTCGTGTTTTCGTTATTCCGGTTTGGTCCCTTCTACCAGCTTTTCCTTCATTTATGGACATTGCTACGTAAAATTATTGGAAATATGCATCACTCTACTTCTCAGTTTTGCTATAAGTTTAGCTTACTATATTGCTGATGAAATGTAGTGCAGTTTTACAGAATTGACAAAGTTTGACTTAAATATTTTGCTTACATTTTGAAAAAATAGTTGAAGTTAAAGACAGAATAAGCAAAATTTGTTGACGAGACTGTTTTGAATGATTCGTACAATTGACCATGAAAAGAGATTTTGAGCTCAAATTCATTTTAGGACAAAGATAAGGCGGAAAAATTGAAGCAGTCCTTGCCACCAGGTCTGCAAGTAAAGGAACTGAAGTGATTCCTTGGATTGTGATACGTGTCTTAGCAGCGTTCTGTGCGTTCGATTCAGTATAGTATGTTGCTAAAATTTACGAATAAACAACTTTAATAAAATAGTTCTAGTTTTACCTGATCCAAAGTATTTATGGTTTTTATTCTTTGGTACACGAAATGTGTACCATTATCCTCATATTGGGGTATGTTCTAGTGTCGGAAAATCCTTAAATGCATTGCAATTCACTTGTTTCATTCTTTTATATATAAAAATGATGAAAGACGCATTACATTTGCATACATAACATATTCACATAGGCATATTGATAAACATTAATTTATCCTACTCATATGTGAACTCTTCGCTAACATCAAAGTAGTTGTTTCTTGGCATGATTTAACACGGATATCGTTAAAAATTTGGTCTTGATGTAGCACGTAAAAATTTAGAAACATGTCTGATGTGTGAAAGTAGTTTTCATCCAAGGGCATTTGAGATTCGCTTGACCACAAGGACTATGTCCGATTACACAGTACCAATCGTGGTAGAAAAAAAGAAACGCGGTGCCAGCCAGTAGGGAGACGTAAAATGACAAAGAAATAATTTCTAGACGTCTAATCACTCGTCGCCATTTACTTTCTAGGTCATCAGATGGCATCAGATGTGTCATCTCTTCTCTGTAAAATATATCAGGATCGTTTTAAAATGCATGCGTATGGATGAGATGCTGTGAAGCTCGGATCAGTTAAAAGACAAAAGTTTCCTAGATATTTATTGTACTTATATACTGAGTTTTCTCTGCTAGACGATTTTATAGTTTGATTCACTCAAATTCATTATTATTTGCAGCAGTTATAAGTAATTTTTTAATTTGAACAAGGATTTATGATATATTATTCAAAGAAGAAATATTTATATAAGAGTGAGATTACTAAAGTTTTCGCATACTGGCACGTTATTTTCCACAAACTTCACAGTAATCTCAATATTAAATGAATTAATCATTGCATAAGTAATGTAAACCTTATTGCATTAACAGATTTTTCGATATTTCTTACTGCCGTAATCAAGCACTCCCATGACTGATTATGCACCTGCTGTGCGAGTGCATTATCCCAATCCATCGTCATATTACTTCCACCAAGAATCGGGTCTACGATAACCGCACGTGAAGGAACTGCATCATTCTACAACTAGTTTTTCAGTTTTATGACTCAAATATTACTGAAAAATATGGAATGCTATTTCTTATTAGGATGAAGTGAGAATGAATAATAATCAAAGTTAAGTGTTGAGGGATAAGAAGCATAATCAGTCACAAGCTAGAATTGGGTTTACTCTTTACAATAACAGATAAATTTGAAGCAAAATAAAATTCAGTAAAGCAATTTCAACTTCGCATTGATAATCGAGTTTTTGGCTTCAGAAAAATAACTCACATTTACATGTGGTCGTTTCTCGATATGATTTATAGAGTTTGATCTGCAACAATGTAAGTTTACTAATTATAATAGATCATCATGCAGACTTAGTCTTATACTTTCATTTTTTGTTTCAGTTATTTCGGTACGATTGATTAGTTTATTTGATTTAGGCAATCATTTTTGTAAACATATAAATTCAGTGTGAAGAATCAGAATTTTCACCGTACAAATCCAGCATTAATATCGAATGACAACCAATGTAGATACCATGGTATTTGGTTCTTGTGCCTTAAATCTTTTTCAAGGAAAATGAACATAGATGTAGTAACCGTCGATGAGCCAATTATTGCCAACAATATAAAATAGTACAGACCTGAGCATATAGTTTCGTTCATTTTGCAATTCATGTTAAGTTGTATACAGCTTATTTCATTTAAATTTTTTAATCAAGTACAACATGTGGGTTACTTGGTATTTTCGTTGCATATTAAATTGGTGTTATTTTACAGTTGTCAAACCATTTTTAGAAATGTTCACGTGACGTCGAAAAATAAGAATGTTGAGCATCCATATTAATCACTAACCGATTAACGGAATCCCAGAAAATGAACCACGTCCTCTTCGACTACTTGACATGCTAAATTTTGGCATATCTTCTACAATAGCAAGTAATATCACGCTCATACTCATCAACGTCATTATGCCAAGACGGAATTTAGCATCTCTGCAATATACTTACTGAATCATACGTTTTCATTCAGCATGAGTCGAAAGTAAGCATTGGTGTATTTTTGTAATTTTTGTTTTCTATAAATACTTGCCATAAATATTTTGCATTATCAATTATAAACATCTTAAATGTTTTTATAATTAATAACTTGTAATTAAACTGACGCCTTACCTCATTTTCCCGCTTGTGCTTGGAGTATGAAATCCAATAACTGCTACAAGAGTAATAATAGTGCTTGGTATTACCAAATTGAAAACTGAATATAATCTGTTTAAACTTCAATTGTAGTGAAGAATTTCAATTATAATGAAGAATTGCGAGAATACGGTGTAAAGTTTAAATGCGTACCATAGTAGAAGCTTTGACGAACCAAAACAAGATCCATAATAATCATTTCCCAAAAGAGTGGTGGATCCAAGTAATCATACAAAAAACCATCGGATACAACAGTACTATGACTCTTTAAAGTTATGAATATATTTTGTTTTAAAAATAAATAAAAACCACACACGAGCACCGTATTTTTTTGATTAAACAACTTTTGAAGTTTACTACTAAATGATTGATTTGATCTGTCATATTCTATGATTTTAAAAGACGTAGAAATTTAATATTGACGAAAAAAATTGTGAAAATAAGTTCTGAGTAGAAATTAATTAGGACTAATTGGTATTCATACGATCAATTAGTTTATAAACAGTTATTAACCCAATTAAGTATTTATTTAAATTAACTATATATTAATGGGTAAAAAATACGCAATACTTAAAACAATACTTGATTTAATTTTAATCCTTGAACTGATATTGAGTTTTGTATAAGCAATATCTCTTTATAGCATTTATGTTAAAAGCATAAGTCAGTAAATTTCTTAGTTTTTAATAGGATTATCAGATTGTTACAATTAAGTAATTACTTAAATATATTTAATAAAGTGTACAAACCGCATCTAATTGCCATTCTTGATTATCATAGAAATCTATCAAACTAAGATTCTTTGAATATAATGCATACTTAATTGAATCGTTTGAATGAGCCCAGGAGCCAAATAATAGCGTACATTGTTGACTGTAAATGTATTCATTTATGTGAAATCTCCGAATAAAAACTGCTAATTTTAACATATCTGATGATATTTTGTTGCTTATTACATTAACGTCAAAATTGACGAAGTAGTCAATTTTCTTTACAGAAACTGAACTAACGGAATGCAAATATCGCTGAATTACAATCGATAAAAATTAATTAAATTAAAATTTAAAGTAATTAAAAACTAACATGTCGAAGGGGAAAAATTTGACATCGAGTTTACACAGTGATTCCGTTGAGTAAGGCAGGTAATATCGAACATTACCTGTGTAATTTACACGAACATCGTTATTACTGAGCAATTTCACCGCTTGATTGTAATGATGACTGTAAGTTTGACCTTTTCTGTCTTACTTTTTTAGATTTATTAATTTTGCAGCAAATAAATTAGTCAGAAATGAACTTGAACTTGTTCAGGTATAAATTTCTGCATTTGATTGCAGAAAATAAACCCTTCAGAATTATATGTTCATTTATTTTTTGATTCATTCATTAATTTTACTTTTCATGAAGGAAAATTGTACCAATCCGTACTGATTGTTTCTACACTGAAACTAAAAATCCAAAAGTACTTCTATCCTGCGCAAATTGATAAGCAATTTTTTTCGAACATTAATTTTTGCATTTTTTTCTATTTTTTCACAGTATGAGCTAATTAAATCAACCTGTAATAGAGGGAAAATTCAGGAATCCAAATATCGTTTGATGAGAGGAAAATCTCAGTTGCACCATCGTAATCTTTGGGATTCCATTGGAGAAAATCATCTTTCCAGTACTGAAATCGGAAATGCAAATTTTCGCAAGTTCTGCTGGAATTGTGATGGTGCAAAATAGAAATTAAAGGCAATCAAAAAATTTGCTGAATTTTTTTAAATGAGAGAGTGAAGAATGGAGAAATAATGTGCAATGACAATGCACATGGAAAATGTATGAAAAGCAAAAAAGCAGCAGAATATATTTGAGAAGTAATTTCGTTGATGAGTGACTGAAACTATTGGGTGCAAGGAAGTTCTGAAAACTGTCAATTAGAAATTAATTAGCTTTCTGATAGTACAGAGAGAGATTTAAAATTAGTAAAGATAAAGTATGGTATATAATATTATTAAAATAAGTTAAGCTAAGCTAACTTAATGTATCAGAATGATTCACCTTTTCTACTCAAAGTTACTTTAGCAAGATTTTAGTCATTTAAAATCCTATAAAATATTTTTAAGTAATGATAGCCTTATTTACAAATTTTTTGGGCAAAAGTAGAAAGTGATCTTTTAGAATTAAGATAAATTAAAGCAGAGAATTAAGAAATAATCAATACAGTATATATTACTACTACTACTTTGTTGTAGAGGGAATATTTTGTATTTTGGACGAAATTTTTTTCCAAAAAAAGATTAAACTCGTTATTCTTTGTATTTTCTGGAAAAAATATCGCTTACATCATCGAAAAATTGACAATAAATTTGTGATTGATGAAGCAATTGGAATTTAAATATTCAAATTGTATAGAAGAATGTAGAAGAAAAGTTTAATTTTAGAAACATTAAATGAGTAATGATAAATAACGAAGAATATAAAACTGATAGCGATAATGATAATAATGAACATTGATATTAATGATAATGCTGGGACAACATCGAAAAAACTTTGCTTACACCTACGTACGCCAATATGTTTGGATAATCTGTCCACACTTTCAGTGGGCATATCATTACTGTTAACATTTTTGAACATTTTCTGATTTTACAAATCGTACTGACGTACGTACGTTAATGGAACAGCAGCATGCTTTTTCATGCGTCACAATGACACGCTTTCCTTTACCGATCATTCTACCCAAATAAACATTCTGCTTAAGCACTTTTTTTTGAAAAAAAAACTATTCTCATGCGTGCTTTTTTACGTTTCTGTTTTATCGAAAGTTTAAAAAATAGGAATTGGTATGTGATGAAAGATGAAATTTTGACTACTATTTCCTTTTTAAAAGTTTTGTTATTGAATTTACTAACAATTTCTGATGTATCTTTCAAAAGATTATTCTTTATTGACTAAAACATGTCAAAAAGTACTGAAAATATTATTAGTACAATTACAGAACTAATTAATTGTGCGTGAAGAGACCATTTTTGACGCAGTCAGAGAGTTCCATTAAGCACAAATTAAATTTTTCTCAACAAATTACTAATCAGTTTAATGACTGTTGCGGTGATTCTGAAATGGATTCAATTTTTGTTTATTTCAGAGTCAGTTATCTGCGATACTTTTTATTTGAAAAAGTGATAAAACCGTTTTATTACTTTTTCAGTCAATTATTATGATTATAAAAATGATGATTTAATCAAGGAAGTTGTGAATGCAAAAATATCTAGTGCTAATAATAATGATATAATTCTATAAATGATTAACTTTGTTCTTGTACTTGTTAGCAATATAATAGCTGTCATTTACCATTAGCACTTAACACAGTAATAATAATAATATTGCTATTAATAAATAACAATAGTAAATAATAATAATAATAATTAAATAAATAAATAAATAATAATAACGAAGAAATTATTACTTAATAAGGCATTCAGACTGTGTGACTTAAAGTTGTAACACTATCTTATTAATGGACATAGTAATAAATGAATAAATTACAAACTTGGCAAATAGATAAGTTTTTCGTAGCTTTGGCAAATTAGCACTAGATATTTTGCAGGAGCGTTGGAATTGCTTAAAATTGAGTGCGACAAAACAAATAAGGAAAAGCGGTCGCTAAGGTGCGACGATAGGACCGCTCGCGCAGTCTGTCGCTTGCCTTCCATATGCAACTGCATTTTATCTCATCTTTGTCATTTCACTAAATTATTATTTTCCTTTTAAATTTTAGCACTGATCTCTGAATATGTTCAGTTACTTAAGGTCAAAATAAAAGTTGAGGTCAAGTTACTAAGGTTGATACTTAATGATAGAATATATTAAATATAGTAAACAATGTGCAATATGAATGACAATAGTTTTTAAGGACTGTTTTGTAGTTTTAGTCAATGCTAATATTGCAAACATTCGTTATATAATTTGAAAAATTTTTAGCTCTAAAATTGCAAAACAGTCTTTTCAAAAATCTGCACATTAATATGAATTGTTGTGCAGATGTAATGTAGACCTCTCAGATGCAATCGCTGAATAACCAGATGCATGTCACTTTCATTTAAGTTCACAAATCTGCACAGTGATAGAACTTTCGTTGATATTTCTGATTGCGGATATTGATCAGTGCAAATCTTGCAGATATCCCCCCAGAGATTTCGGAATCCAGTTCATTTCTTTAGCCTTATCACTGATATCATCACTTTTCCATTGTAATTTCATTTCATTTTTGTGATGATATTTGCTTCATACTCATATCGTATATTCTTCATACACTTACTTATTTTCATATTTAAGGTGAAATGATTACAATTTGTCGAAATGTTCTCAGTATTTTGCTGGCAATTGCTATCCAACAAATTTCTTCTCAGAGGTCTCATGCAACGAAAACAGGTTATAATATTTACTCGCTTCGTCTCAAATAATTACTCTTATTTTATTACCACCTTAAGCTTTCCATCTTTCGCTGTTGACACAAGGTCAAATCCTCACAAGTACAGCTACTTATATGTGACCTAACAAGCATATCAACTTTAAATATCTGTTCTATCTTTTCTATTGAAAATGATGGTTCAATTTTTAGAACGAATTAATTTTAGTTGCATTACTTCATTGTTTTACGATTTTATTCTTTATTAGCATACATGATATAAATTTTGACATTTATAATTTGATAATAAATATAGGAATATAACAATTTTATCACTGTTACGACATGAACCACAAATCAAATACTAACTAATATCTATTGCTTTCATGATTTTGAAAGCAACTTCCATTCTTAATTAATTAATTGTTTATTTATCTATTTATTTATTTATAAATGTTTGATAAGTGAATAATTTTCACTCA